CTGGTAAATGTGATGGGCAATTGGTAAGTTTTTTTCTACATGCCTTCGGTCTATTACACTAAAATAGAGCAATCGCTTTACCATCATATTGAGCCTTATTGGAAAGCTTTTCCACAGCATTTTGTAAAATACTCCCAAAACCTTTGCTATGAAATATGTATGCTTTTACTTATTTACACATATTCAATCTTTTCACTTACGGACAAGCCGCTTTTTTTATTAGCCGTAATATTTGCAAACGAATTGAAATTTGAAAATATTGAGGTTTCTTCTCCTACAACGCAAACACATTAAATGTGTTTTTAAAATTTCACGCAAATTATAGCACGATAACGGAATTAATTTTTATTGGAAATACAATTGTAGACAGAAATTGTGATTGTATCTTTTTGGAAGCATTAATATTATTTTTTCACAAGATCGTTCTATGAAAAAATGGACATCAAAAGCAGCATTCTTTCGTTCATAATTTTTCAGGTTACCAGTTTTCATGTATCGATTCAATTGAATCAAAAATTGATGGATTCAAGGAAAAACGTAACTCAAGGTTTTTTTATTCTATTTTTATTTCTTTTCTTCTCCAACGTGCTAGTTTCCACAACGTTTCACAACGTTGATTTGTTATTAAATCCATTGAACGCTTTTGAATACATACTCTATTTACTATATTTTCATTTAACTACGAGACCGGGACCCTTCTAGAATTGGTATAATAGATTTAAGTCAGTTGATATTCATAATCCGCATAAGCGTGAATAAATCAGGGATTGTTGCTTTGAGGAGGAAAATGAGGAGGAGGATGTTTATTTCGTTCAATTTATTCCTTTACCAAAATTTTTCAATTCTACAACTAATCATTCCATTTTCCTATGAACGAATAAACGAATGAACGACGAACGAACATTTGAACTAGAACGAACGAACAAACGTTCGTTGAAAGCTCTGTGTTTTCTAATTACCAATTGACAGCATTTTAAAAAAAGCAGACAGTTTTATTGACAACGTCATTTCCCAATGAAAAATCCATTTTAAAATGCTCGTCTTCTCCTTTATTCCTATTTCTTATTGAAATGTTGGTCATTTGTTCTAATTTTCAATCCCAAGGAGTTGATAAGCTTAGATTATTCTAAGGGTAGATTCCTTTCATTACAACTGGATTGTCTGTTTTGTGAAAAAAAAAATATCGAAATATCAAAAGAACCGATTTATCATTATTATCGATTGTTGAACGAACAAGAAAGGCTATATCAATGTTTGTGTACAGCCAAGGTTAGATTTACGGGTTATTATTGTTAAAAAATCGATAGCACTTTGAAAATTATTTCCTCACGTATATATGAATCTTTTACATTTTTCATAGAAAGGAAACAAAAAAATTCTCTTTCTTTTTCCATTCAAATATTAATGTATAAATCTTCTCAACCGAAAGGAACTTTAAAAAGGAAAAATGCACCTCTACAACAATTGGAACGTTATATGCACTTGTTTGAAAAATGAAGTATTTTTTATGTTTCCCTTTTCGATTCTCATAACATCCGGACTCCAAACGCTGCATTGCGAACGCAAACATCGAACTATGAGATTACATCCATTAAAATCAGTTAGTTACAAATGAAGGCAAAATGAACAAAAAAACCTCCATTGATATTAAACGTCAGTTATACTGATTAGTCATGAAAAAAACGTTGAACATTACCATGAGTAATAAAAAAAGATCTTTGTTTCCAACTTTCTACAGCATGGAAATTACAATTATAAATGAGAGTGAAGGCGTTGATTGAAATTGAATTTAAGTCAGCCTCTGAATCAATTAGTTGAATAATATGTTTCATTTGATTATGATATCAATGCTTTATTAGCATTGTCATTGGAGAAAAGTTTAAAGGAAACATGAGCTGACGATGTAAAAGCATGAGTTGAACATATACCAACAGCTAGCGGGCAGAAAGAATTCTTCAATTGTCACTATATTTTAAATGGCATCCATGGGACACGTCAAAGTAAGACATTTACTGTCAGACAGTTGGCTGTTACTTTATTGTTGGCTCATTCTTCAGAATCTCAATGAATTAATCCAATTTCAGTGCTATAATGACATTTTGACGATTGAAACATCGACATTAATTGACTAATTATATTCAAGTTTTGAATCGACGAGCCGCGCGCCTCAATAAAAGTTGAAGTTCACCAACAAAAGGAAAAATCAAGTAAAGAAGAGTGATGATGATGAATTCGTGCGTTTTTGCACGTCAGAAAATGATGAAACACGAAATATTGATTGAGTGACATTGGTAAGTCTAGTAAAATTTCTGTCTCGCAAGAGCCGCGGAAAATATTTTAACACGTTTAACCTAAACGTATTAATTTGAATGCATAAACTCTTCACCATACGGAGATATCTTCAGGCAGCCCAGGAAGCTAATGTCAGGCATTTTATCGAGATCGCTGTTTATTTCGCCGTATTTACACGCATCGAATCAATACTCAACGTTTTACTAACTAGAAAATACATGCAGCTGTGTTTCATTTCATTTTTTGGCTACTGTTTTTCTTATCAAGTCAACTTGCACCATAATTGATACTGAACGCAATATCGAATATAATGTTTCATGAAAATGTCATTATGTGTTTGGGGATTTAAATCGGATGCTCTTGTGCTTTTGTAAGAAAATGCCATTCCCTCTTGACCGATCGCCACGTTTTTTTTTTATTTGTTGTGACTTTCAATTTGAAATATTATACGCACACAATTAGTGGTCCTAATGAGATACGAAAAACGATGAAAGAAGAAATACGAAGAACAACACTTGCACATATACAAACACACTCATTTTAATGGAAATTGCGACCTAGCAACCATTGACTCATGCAACCATGCAATGTAACGTTGGTCTGTAGAAAATGTTCATCGTTGCAACTCGGAACTGCTCTGCTTTCTCATCAGATATACTTACGATTTTGTATTCACTTAAAATCAAGTGTAATGAGACTAGATGAGACAGATTGGGTATGAGGTCGAGAATGCGAGAAAACCATAAACACAGCTGAGATGTTGGCTTGCAATTGTCATGCTCAAGCTTACATACGACAAATATTTTAAATCAGAGAAGCATAAACACTTACATGCTTCTATTATCATTGTCGTTGCACATTGAAATGAAGGCCAAAAACCGCCAAAGAAATGACTGTGTATCACGAAATTTTATCTTCAGTTTTGCTCCGGTTTTTTTTTATTTTGGCTGTCTCACTTATATTATTTTGTCGTTGCAATTGTATGCATGTTGCCGCCTTTCAACCGAATCAACTCTCAAGTTTTCTCGTTTTCCACTCATCTTTCTCACTATTTTCTTATTTAACATAATTTTTCGTACGATTTTATTTCGTTCGGTTTGTGTCTTTCATATTTGAACTGTGTAAAGTGTGTGTATGTGCGCGCACCGCATATCACATGAAATAAAAGTTGCAGAACGTGGTTGCGCTTTTTTGTTCGTCGTCGTCCTTTAATTTGCTTGAACCAGCTCTACCTCACGTTTTAGCCGCCATTCACTTTACATTCCCATCGACGGGTTTGGGTTTTTGTGAATTGCGCGCGTGTTCGTATATGTGCTGCTCTCGTGTGTCACTATAATTTGAAAATGGTAAAATGGTATATAACATACAATGGAAAAAAGAGAAGAGAGAAAGATGTAGATTTCGCCGTTTTATTTATTTAAAATGTATGTGCATGCGTATTTTTCTTTTTTATTTTCATAGCGCGATGCTAGCTTTAAGCGCAGCGACGAAATAAAAACAGAGGAGATACACACACACACAAATTTGCCAACAAATTCATTCCATTACTTATCTGGAGATACGGCAAATAAAATATAAGGAAAAATTTCTATACAAATCTATGCTTTAAAGAGGTGTACTTTGAACCGACATAGAATACACATCTGCACGCACACATTCATACATATTATGTGTGTGTGTGTGAGATGGAAATACTTCAGTGCATGGGTACGCATTCATGCATAGACGATAAACGTTCGCTGGATTGATGTGCATGATAGTGGTGCTTCAATAGCTTTATGCTCAAGCAGAACTCATACATGCTTTCACTCACTCTCTCTCTCTCTCTCTCTCTCTCTCTCCCTTTCGCGACAGTTTATTTTATTTTCCAAGATCTTTTTTTGCTAAAGCCACGCATTTTGGTTTATATTTTTTTTTTCATGTATTTATTCCTGGCATGTCACGTTCGAGGTTTAGTGAAATAAATCAAAAAAAAAAATCCAATACGCAAAACATAAAAATGACGTTCTGTGTGAAAATGAGCAAGTAACGCGGTAACAACAAGTCAAACCAAAATAGCTGATATAGCTATAATCTAGTTGTGACTATTTGTATTCGGTGAGCTTTTTATCTTGAAAACAGATAGAGTGAGCCAAAGAGAACTGGAAAGAAAACTTGATGGCAAAATGCTACGGCCATACAGAGTATAAACCAGTCCAGAGCATTCATTCTCTCGCAATATCACTTTAAATTGATTTCTCTTTTAGCAAGTATTTTTTTTCTTCTGAGATTTGCCCATGCGTTTTTATGTTGCCCGCGTTTAAAGTGCCATTCTATATTTCTTTATTTTCTTCGTCTTTTTTTTGAAGTCTATTTCAAGCCAAAATACAATTATGTTCGAAATGTATGGGGGTGAGGGGTGTGAGACAGGTCATGTATCTGTGTATGTGTATGCACATATGTATATATGGCATCATCAACATGAAGATAGACAGATATTACACGTATATTGAATTTCGTGCTCATTTTTTGCCATTACCCTCCGAGTTTTATTTGCTATTTTATTTCATTTTAACTGTACGGCAACAGTACGGTTGAACTTATTATATTAACGTCGCTTCTTTTTTCATATCTTTCGAGTTTGGTTTCCTTATATCATCTTCTTCTTCTTCTTCTTCTTGATGATTTCTCTATTTCTCAAATTTATCTCCTTCTCTTTTATTTTACAGATCTCGTAGAAGATGTGGTATTCAACTTATCTATATCTGAGTGGCTTACTAAGTATAGCTGCGTATTCAATAAAAGACAATCAGGTATTAAAAATCATTTAATAATAATGTTGATATTTTTTTCTTATTCATTTTTCGTTGAATGTTTCGTTTTTTTTTTTTCAATTTCATCTTACACGCAAATCCGCAAATGTGCTTGTTTTGGCATAAGGATTGTTGTAATAGCGTGATTGAGTAAATTTAAATGGCTTTGAAAGTTGCGTATGTTTTGCATTTTTCATTTAAATATCAATCATCGGTGATGATTGGATTATTGAATTATGTGTTTATCTAAATCAGACGGGTTCAATAATTTGACTTTTTTTAACTCGATGACCCAAAGCTTTTAAAAGTAGATTTCCGTTACATACACTAAAAACACATGATTTGCAAACTGATTTCCGTAATTGATTTCTAATAAATAATGAAAATACAAAAGCGTTAATAGTTTTATAATTAGAGTCCAGAGTCACACTGGGGGCTGAATACTGGACAACAAAAAAAGTAGTAAAAAAAACTAGCACATAAATGGAAGTACTATAACAAACAAAGTCAACTTCACACCAATGGCTGTATAAATTGTACTATTGAGAGCAAAAAGAAAGAAAAATACTGGCAAAAACTAGCTGTAGTAGAATTTCGTGAACAACCCCACGGAGACACATTTGCCAAATCAAACGACAATTGAACGCTATGTTGTGCACACGTACATGAGCCATTTGAATAAAAAAGTGTAATTTTTTTCTACTTTCAAACAATGACAGTTTTGTAAATAGCAGCAACTCGCTATGACGCCCGACATTTGAAAAGTGAAATTATTTGGCTTTCCCTTTGGAAAGAAAACATTCCCATTGATTCGAACAGAAGAAAAAAGAATGCAACAATAGCAAAATGAGACACTACAAAATCTAATTTCCATAGTTTTTCAATGCGCCATTGAAAGAAAGAGAATAATTTTTCATTACAATTGTTTGGATATTTGTAATTCTCTTTTCTTCAGACACACACATACACACACTTATGCAATCAATTCGCATTTCTGTTGAACTTCCTTGCATAAACAAATAGTGTGCGTATTGTCACAAGAGCTTGCTGTGTTTGTTTATGATTGTACACATATGTGAAGACTTTCATGCCTTTCAATGCGATTGTTGCAAAATATAATGTTTAAATTACAACGGTGAAGGGCAGAGACTGTTTGTCAGAGCAATATAAGCGAGGTGGAGCGCTCTTGTGAAGGAATTTACGGTGTATGCATTGGGGTGTGCCAAACGTTTCCAGCGGTTTACAATTTGTATGCATTTGTATATCGTATACATATGACTCATATGATATGAGGAAGTTACAATTTGGCGCACCCCAGTATGCACGGTCACACTTTCAACTACTTTTTGGAGACATATTAATTCTTTTTCTATTCCTCTCTGTTTTAATGTTATCATTGTTGCAAGTTTTGGGACATTTACTCGTTTTACGTAGGTTGCTCCATAATTTTTTTTAAAATGGTACTTATAGTGTTGCCCGATGTAAACCATTGTCATATTCGTAAAGTTTGATGTTTTGGTATGTATTCGTGCCCTGAACCTTTTGTCGTACGAACGCTATTTGTATTGTTTACAGTGACTGGTAAACTGCGACTCAACAAAAAAATGAATTTTACACGTGAAGATTTTCGTAAAATGATTTACTACGATTTTCGAAGTAAATTATCTCAACAACAGTGTTTCGATCGACTTCATTTGGCCTTTGGCAATGAAGCACCAACCCTTCAGACAATTTATAACTGGTACCGAGAATTCCGTTGCGGTCGTAGTTCGCTCAAAGACGAGTTTCATACAGGTCGTCCAAAATCGGCTGTTGTGCCACAAAACATCGATGCTGTCAGAAAACTGATTATGGAAGATCGTCATGTGACCTACCGTGAGATTGAGGCATCTTTGGGCATTTCATCCCACAGCATACATACAATTTTGCACGAACATTTAGCCGTACATATTTGCTCTCGTTGGATCCCACATAAATTGACCGATGAACAAAAAATGGCTCGTGTGAGTTGGTGTAAAGAAATGCTCAAGAAATTCAATCGTGGTGCTTCAAAAGACGTTAATAAAATCGTCACTGGTGACGAATCGTGGATATATGCCTATGAGCCCGAAACGAAACAGCAGTCGACTGTATGGGTCTTCCAAAATGAAGATAACCCAACGAAAGTTGTTCGAGCAAGAAGCACTTTGAAGCGAATGGTCGCCTGTTTTTTCGGGAGAAGTGGTCATGTGGCAACCGTTCCACTAGAGGATCGTAAGACCGTCAATTCTGATTGGTATACCACCATTTGTTTGCCCGAAGTGTTTGGTGAAATAAGAAAAAACAACCACCGTCGCAAAATAATTCTTCATCACGATAATGCGAGCTCTCACACATCTTTTCAAACTACTCGATTTTTGACCGGTCAAAACATCGAACTGATGGGTCATCCACCGTACAGTCCTGACCTGGCACCCAATGACTTTTTTTTGTTCCCAAGCGTGAAGAAAAAACTACGTGGTCAACGATTTTCGACACCAGAAGAAGCAGTTGAAGCGTTCAAAACACACGTTTTGGAGATATCAGTTTCGGAGTGGCACGAATGCTATGACAAATGGTTTCATCGAATGCAAAAGTGTATCGATCATCTCGGGGAATATTTTGAAAAACAATAAAACCATTTTCGACAAAAAACAACTGTGTTATATATGTTTTTAAAAAAAATTATGGAGCAACCCTCGTATTGGTACGATTTTGTTAGTCTTAACCAAACGGTTTGGAATTCAATACACATTTTTTTTCGAATCTTATTCTAAATACTCAAATCTAAGTTGAGTTTAGTTATGTTGGTCTTTCTCTACAAGGGTCTATCTCCCATTCTTTGCCAATTTTTTTCTTCCATTGAATGCACCCATATTATATTTCCAAAAGCTATTGATGAGGTCGGTAACGACGTTGATATAAAAAAAAAAAACGATGAAGGGAGAAACGGGTACACAATTGCAGTGTAAAACTTTTCTTGTTATTATTCTATTGAGAGTGCTTCTTTACACTCTTATACCTTTACTAGTTGCGGTAATGTTGTCTGCATTCTTCTTTTCTTTGCTTATTCGTTCAATGGTTGAAGAGATGTGGTGAAAATCGAATTTAAAACTTTGTATTGATGAGACTCGTTAAAGAATATTAATTTGAATGAGAGTACTTTAAATGCATACTACATATTTCATGTGCTCAGTGCATTTTCCTCATAATATATGTGATTCACTTCGAAAGCATTGTGTGTTCATAAAAAAAGGTCTCTTGTATACAAAAAAAAATGAGTAAATCAAACTTGGCACTTACGCTAACTATTCGACTTTACCACCATCAGCATTTGTATATTCAACAAATCTTGACACAATTAATAAAATATATTTTTCAAATGGTAAATACTTGAGCGCTAGCTTGAGCGATGGCTACCAGCATTCTGAAACGACCAATAGGGAGATGTTTTATTCCTATTTTGTTGCTTATGTGCTTTGTTTTCGGTCGAATAGTTTTTTGTCTTTTTTCGTTTATTTTGGATTTTCATTTCCGAGTAACAGACAATGGGTAAATAGCAGACTTATGATTATGCTGGGTAAATAGCCACTGCTGACAGTTAGCGGCTGGAAATAGAGGCTTCGTGGATGTGTCTGCGGTATGCATTTATTGCGTATAGCAACACTTCCATTGTTACAATCACTTCTCGAGTTTATAATATTAGTATAGTGATTATATCAATATGTGTATACCGTCCAATTAGCTGCTAGTTCCAGCAGCAGCCATTTATCAAGTATAATCATACGTCTGGTAAATAGAAAATTCAATTGTATAAATTTGAATTCTACCTTGGCATTACCTTATTGTCTGCATGCGATATTGTTGAATGCAAGAAAGAGAGAGAGAGAACATGAAATTTTGAGGTAGAGCTTTCGGAAAAACTGTACTTGCCAGCTCTTTTACACACTACAGACCAAACCAAACCAAAACAATTTTTCGGCAATCTTTTGATATTTCTCTAATTTTGTTTTTGCGTGCACAGAATGAAAATGCGCTCAATTCAATTCTATACTGTGGTTTTGCCACTCATTGTATGTTCGAAAGCAATGACTTCGTTCAACGAATTATTTGCGTTTCTTCAATTTATCAAGAACTAACTGTGTATCATTACAATCATTCAAAGTGAAATTGTTGGTTTAATCTTTCCTGATCACGTAATTGCCAACATTCATTGCGTACATTCAAGAGATTCAGGATGTAATTTCTGTATTCCACTTCGATTTTCCATTTCTATTTCATGCACATACTTCATAGTATAGCGATTACGTCAAATATTGGTGCATTAAAAAAACACCATTCACATTAAACTATTTTATTTTCAAGCGCATCTTTTGTACAAACAATATTGTTGAAAGTTCTTTAAATAGTTGTCTATGTATTCTAATGGTTGAATGGTTTCCCATGGTGCTTCACAAGTGTATAGTAGTCACAATCCTCACAAGATGCGTTATTGAAATATTGGTTGGGTATTTTATGACCTAGGGGCTATTATAATGACCTAGGGGCTATGGTTATTATTATGTATTCGATCATACAATTTTATACACACTATTCACGTATTTTTTTATCATATACACGACGTTAATCTCTGGCGGATCTCAATTAATAGGAGATACTTTAAAGCTTACACACCAAGTATAGATTTATTTCCGCGTTGCACTATTTACAGTACTAATTTGAACATAGCAGCCCCTAGTTTATGACTTTGCCACATTTATAACACGAATTGAATTACCATGATTTTTGGTGTTTTTCTTCACGGTCTACTATAATTCACAAATATTTACTACTTTATTCACATTAATCCATTTAACTTTAGGCACTTTATGTTCTATTCTATCTGTATTGATTTTATTTTCTCGTTTGCTCTTTAGAGCAGCCATGGTTTTTTTTCTCATCGTCCAACGTCCAACTGTGCGTCGATATATATTTAATTGCAATACAATTGTTAACCTATACAATGGTTGGACAGTGTTTACCTTGTGTGTCCCATTGATTTTCAATTTGCGTGTTGCAGACTTATCGATAATTATTAGTATCGTTCGAGAGGGCAAAATAAACAGTTTCGGATCAAGCTTTATTGTATTATGGGCTTTTTTCTTGATTCGCTCAACAAACACATGTACAGAGAGACAAAATTACGCATTCATACCAAATATATGTGTATGTATTGTGTACACATAATAAAATATAGTCCTGGACATATTGGATTTTCATGGAAATGAAATAAATAGTGTAAAAGACAATATTCCATTAATTCACTAAACTTAATTTTATTCGCTTGCAAAGAATTTCTTTGAAATAAATGTATGTTATGATCGAAATTATACAAATGAATAAAAAAATACTAATTATAATGTTTTTGAAACATTTATATACGTACGCCAGACATATTTATTCCAATGGTATTGTGGAAAGGTCATGCGTTTTGCCCCTTCATTGTTTTATCTACATTTTTGTACTCAACTGACTATTAAGGCTGGACACAAATAGTTCGTTCGTCATCGTCATTTTTTTTTTATTGTGTTCGTGACTTCCGAACTTTGCAATATGGAAAAGACCAATCGAATAAATATATGAAATTCTACATTTGCATTGATATTATTAATTTAATCCATCATTTTTTGTTTCTTCATATTTTAAAAATATGAAAAAACTTTTTTTGTGAAATATTTCAAATCGGTTCAAATCAAATTTTTCTATGTCACGAATTAAATGCCATATGAATGAAGTGGTTTGTATTATAAAATCCGAAACACCAGTTATTCAATTCAGCATTTAATGCAGTTATTTCTGGACGCGATCCATACTCGAACTGCATAAAATAAATAAAGCCAAAACAGTTCAGTTATTGTTAATATGTTTGTTCATTTGATTTGTGTTGTTTGGTTTTCGTTTTTAAATTTTATTTCATTTTTTATTCATGAATTTAAACATTTAATCCATTGAATTTCCTTTTAATTGGTTTGTTTCTGGGCTTTTTATTTCAGGAAACAATTCCAAACATAACATTTGGTAAGTAAACTTCAGTTTTTTTTTGCAACGGATATTCCAATTGTCAGCACATATCGGAACAAAGTATAACGTTGTCACAAATCAATTGTTTTTATGTAAATTACTGGATATATTCCAATTGAAAAGTTTGAATGTAAATAGCTGCGCTTTTTAGCACACATAACACAAAGAACAATGCATTTTTACAAAAATACACACAAAGCAGAAACTTGTAACGCCTTCCTGCAAATCGAATCGTTATTCAACTGCCGCATTTTCATTCCTCACTGCTTGGTATTTGCTGAAAATAAAGAGAGAGAGAGACCACATGAAAAACGTGAGAAAAATCACAAAGAGAATCGCGTAATTTAATTTCGAATAATCCCAATCAGGAAAACACCACTTTTACTCTAATATATTTTGGTCGCATTCAGTTAGTAAAAGTTGACGAGGAATAAAAAAACGAATGTAGCTCGTAGATTCATTCACTTGATTTCTAGTTTTTGTTTGAATTTTAAAAGCCTGTCCTGCATTCATAATCTCTTTCGATCGATAAAACCGACTAAATTCACATCCATTGAATAGATTTTAGTGAGATGGTTTTAGTTGAATGCCCGAGAATCATTGTGAGGCTTCTATTATGTTAAGCACATTCAATGAAATAATGATACGTCTAGTAATTTTATTCATTATCTTCCATATCTATTCTTCTTCAATATTTTTCTTTTCTTAGTGGAAGCTTTCACAAGATTTTCACTGAAATTAAAGGAGTTACACTTCAATAAAACCTTTCAATGTTTTAATATGCGGCCAGTAGATGTTTCACGTTCATTCTCTTCCGTTTATTCCAATTTTCCACCACCTCATTTATACTACCAGCTGCCAGTGTCATTTGAAACCAAAGTAAATTCAATAAAACAATTTTTTTTACAGCAAAACCATTTGGACAGTCATTTTAGTCACTTGGTCATATGATAAACACTGCAATACAAACGAAACAAGAGCTCAATAGAAACCTTTGTTGTTAAGTGTGTATAACATTTGTTTGATTAGAACGCGACCAAATAAAGCAAAACAACAAAATTCTTTATCGGATATAGTCAAGTTCGACGAAGACAAATTGAATTTGAACAAATAAAATGAACAAACATGCTTTTTTTAAAATCTACTATTGATGCTTTGTTTGTTTCGTCTGATGAATCTTGTTGCCATTTTTAATGGATTCGTTTTGTTGTTTACATACACAAATTGTATTTTGACTATGTTACCAACTGTGTTTTGTTTTGTCAAAAATAAATACAAACCCAACGAAAGCATTTGAAACAAACAACAACAGTCGAACATCGTTCGAATGAATCGAGCTGCTAATGCAAATTGAACAAATACAACTGAAAATCGTCAATTTGATGGAAATTGCGAATTCAGTCTTTCAATTTAACAATTGTTTTCGCAAAAATCAAGGAAAATACTTGTTTGTTTTGTCATTTAATAGTTCGGAACAAATAATCTTCTATCTGTATACAATCTTCTTTTCTTCATCAGCTTTGGACAAAAATAGTCCATCATTTTGAGATAATCGTATCTATGTTTAAACGCCCTGATATAACTTTTCGGCAAATTTCAGTCGATATCAAACCAAATGTGGATCATTCTTTTATGTCGTTCGACTGAATCAAGTCGAATTTTATGTAAAACTGGTGACATACATTTGCATTTTTGCTCAACCAATTTTGTTGTACCAAACCCCGAATTGTTGCATTCCTTCCACTTGCAAACTAAAAAGATATTTGCAATTGCTGAAATGTCATTTTTCGTTTAGGTTACACCAACACACACACATTTTCGAATACTTTGAAACTTTTCGTGGTGATGGTGGTGTTGTAAAATCATCAACCATCGAAGCAAAGAAGCCACTGCGAATTCCATGCACAATTAATATGGTTGAATCGAAAACTTTTGAGACTTTGGTTTCCGGGTTTTGTCTGTCTGAGCACAACGGAGCACAATTTGTACGATTTTTCCCATATATGTATCTTATACGACGAAGAAAATGCCGTTGCAATGGTTGATCTAGTGAAAAATCACTTCCATTGTTGGAATAACGTTTTCCGGAGATGGTTTTACATTTGGTAAATCACATCGAAAAAACCCCAAAAGTAATATAATAATGCACTAAAATTTGGCCCTGGCATTTTCGGGTAGTTGTAGCTCAGCTAAAAGTTGGCTCTTTTGTCTGCATCTACAACTTCATGGAGAGCATTGGACAAGTACCGATTTATCATCACGTAATAACCACTGTAATGTTCATTCGAAAGAGAAAAAAGAAAGAAATCACATTTTTGGCGCAAATTTATGTGTTTACATATTAAATGAGCTGAACGAGAGAGAGAGAGAAGAACGGCTTTATATGGATAGATACATAAACTCATAGTATTTACAGTGAATGCTAAAATGTGCGCTAAGCGAGATGAGGATTCCAACCTGGTAAGCACGTTTAGCGGAGTTTTGGTGAACAGCTCTGCAATGTAAATTCGGTTTGTTTTTTTTTCTTACGACAAGATAGACGGCAAAATGCTAAAATTTATCAACAAGCATATAAGGGAGAGAATAGAATATCCGAAGAAATGGCATATTTTATAAACCGGACCAACCGACACTGAAAGAAACCATACCAAAAACAAATTGTGCAATGTGGCAAATGTATTGCAACGAATGAAGGCATGTGAATATTCGAAATGTTCATGAAAATTGCTATGATTCATTTCAGATGAATTGCATTATGAAACCAACACGAGCCTATGGTCCCCGACTCGGACAGAATGTCTTAAAATTTCATCGCATTAGCCATAATTGGGCTTTTCGGCAGTCATGAATCATGCGCATGACAGTGCTAATGAACGACTCAACAAACCTTGTGCAAAATAATAAACCAGTTGTTATAGTTGACTATTTTGTATTCAGAGACTAACTGAATCATAGCTAGCCAAAGGTCAAGTTGATTAGTTTTTCATAAAATGTCATGTATTTTCGTAAGAGTCATTTTTTTTCTCTCTCAAAATGCAATCTAAATTAGTCAAGTTATTAAACGGAATAATCATAATTAGGCATAGCGAACGCATAAGAAACATTAAAAGTGCTTCGATTTTTTTTATCAATTAGCCATTCCATTTTTACAAGGGAAGTAAACACAAAATTCCGTTTAATAATGATAATGTATTTCATTCTTATGACAGATTATTAATTGACTTCCGACATAACATCAAAGTGCCATAGAATCACCAAATTTACCAAACATACGCACAATAGATAAAGAGAATATTTTAACAAAGATCATTTTGTTTGAATTGTCTTAGCTTATTCACTTGACCTTACGGCCAATCCCTTTTCGGACACATTTGATTGTGTATTTCAACTATTATAAATTTAAATCTGTACCGAGTTCCGCATAGTGAAGCGTAAATTGAAAAGCGTCGCATTGAATACGACGATATCCGAAATGCACATGAAGTTGTAGCATAAATTTAATGTTTCATAAATTTATATACCTACATGATAATTTATTCATTTGCATAACAGTGCATTGTGTATTACAATGCATTTTACACTCAACTCACCGCTTGAAATCGCTTCGAATACAATACTCGGCACTCGGTAGTTTTTTTTTTGCTGGAATATGTAATTGGATTTTCTAACCACACGTGCGCCTGTGGTGTCAATTAAAGAAAATATTAGTATTTTGACACTGCAATGAAAGTTTAAGGTATGGTTGGCATTTTTTTTGGTTTGGTTTTTGATTTATTTTAGAATCAATTTCAGTCGGAAACATTTGATATTTGAAAGTAGCAGGAAATTGTAACAGATTTTTGCACTTTTCGTGTTTCCCTTTTAATAAGTTTATTTATTCCAAGAAAATGTGTATAGCAACTTCTGGGCTGTCGTATGACTATCGTTATCCAGATGAGTCGAAAACTCTTAATAGAAATTAATGCGTTCATTTCATTTCATATTTTACTCTTATTCTCTTTCGTTCTGTATTTCATTTCGCAGCAAATTGTATTGTGGGAAACGCAACATATCTGCATGGAGAAACCTTTAAAATTGATTGCAAAACGCAATGCATATGTGAGGTAAGTTGTTGAATTTTAGTTATGAAATGATGTGTAATTTTTTTACAGAAAAAAAACTAATCAGTTTGAATGAAGAGATGGAGATGATTCAATGCTCTTTATGAGTTTTTAATTTTTCCGAAATTAAATGCTGGTTCACAAAAATGCAGAAAAAAGGACCAAGAAAAAGCGGAGTTTTGGCTTAGTGTAAATTCATGAGTTGAAACCAAAAAAGGAGGCATCCTAGTAGATAGATACGAAATGAAAAATCATATCGTGAATTTACACGTGATTCATTTCATTTCAACTGGAAAATCATGTTGAATCTTTTGCTTCATATTTTGAATTAGATAATTCGTGTCTATCCCCTAGAAAGTACATTTCAAAACGTTTTCTACAATTCGCCAGACAGAACATGATAAAATGATATATGTCCAAATGAAAGAAGGCCGACATCGAAACTTGTTCACTTTACGTGGAATCGAGGATTGCTATCGGCATCCAATTCAAAAAAAAAATCGCTTTTTTTAAAAGCATCATCGGGGAAAATAATCAATTTCAAAATAGCCAGTCGATACGATAAACAACGCCTTCCCCAGTTTTCTTTTACTGTAATTGGCGAACGCAATACGATTCGCCCATTTCGTTTAGACATTCTTCCATTTAATTGCACTAATTGGATGCAAATGAGAAAAAAATAATTTCAAAGAATAATGAACTGAACAACATCGTCAATGGTGTACATTCTCTTTTTTGTATTATATCGTCATTATCTAGCTTTAGCGATTCCCAGTACAGCTATAAGATAATAATCGCGCACTTTTCAAATTATCAAAACTAATAAAGTAGACAAAAACAGTTCAAAGCAGAAAGCCTTTGTGGCAAAGAGAAAAACACCATCAGCTCTTTCTTCTTTTCACGTCAAAGTAGCTTTAAAAACTGACATTCCATTTGTTTAATTATACGAACATAAAAAAAATAGGCGCGTTCGCTTGATATTTCTTTTTGAAATTAGTAATTAGTATTAAAAATAATATTCAAAATTAGTATTATGGCCAGAGGGTAATTGTAGTAGAAAAAACTTCAAAAATCTATTTTCTAAATGGTTCAATGCATTGAAATTAAAATAACCCTCTCTTGCGGATGTATGCATTTAATTGTAATTGAGAAGATTTTTTTCCATTCATTTGTGCATTTGATAAATTAATAAATATTCACAGAGGATTACTCCAACTAAAAGGAAAACGATATTCATTCACAAAGCAAGAAAAATGAGTTGAATAATATTTATTTTCCGTAGAGTGTCCTTTTGTCAACGCTGTTACTTTTCTGATTTCTTCATAATATTTTTCTTCTTCTTTTTTACGGCACCATTTCGTCTTCGTCATCGCAATTGTAATGCTCTGAAGAATGGACGTCATGCATGCTCATCGTTGTGTCCGAAAGAGAATCTACCACCACCCGAAGACACAGCAGTTTGCCATTCACCTCGTTTAGTTGATGTGCCGGGTCATTGTTGTAAAGTGTGGTTGTGTGAAACACCATCTGCAGACGGTAAAGTACCACTTAAAATAAATATAGAGTTTACACATATGTTTGGATCACCATTTTCAGTTCATTCCCTTTCTTTTCGTTTTTTTTTTGTTTGGTTGTTTGTTTGGTTTCACAATGTAAACACACGCTCTACAATTATCTGAATGTTTCTCACGGCAGAAAATGATTGTATTGCATGTATGTTTTCTAATGAATACATATTGTTTTTTTCCCTCGTTTTGATTGCGATTGTTCTTTAATTCGTTTTTTTCTGCCTTTCCCTTGCTAAGCAATGCGTCATTTTTGTATATATGCATTCTATCGTACACTTTTTTAACGTTTCTCTCTTTTTTGTTGTTGTTTGTTTCATTTTTCTATCTGTCGGTCTGTCTTTCTCGGATGTATTTACATGTTTAGTGAATGCAACATGTCAGAATGTTTCGGCTAGCCCATGGACATCATGCTCGGAATCATGTGGAATTGGTGTTTCGACACGAAATGTTGCAACAGCAGTTGGTTGTAAAAAGCTCAGTCCGATTCGTTTATGCCAGAATCGACGTTGTCAAAATAACATGAACAGTACATTTATTAAAAATGACTTTGAGAATATCGATCACATGAATTATAATGCTATTATACCACATAAACATCGTGTTCGGGTAAGTTTGTGCCATGATACACATTTCTTTTTAATCTCGTTTTTGTCACGTACAAAAAATTTAAATCACAACATACAACAAAAAAAAAAAATAACATCAAAATGAGAGAGAGAAAACTTAATAGAATAAACAGAAGAAGAAAAAATATACATTATACACTCATCGCACCGATTTTATATAGCATTTTATTGATTTTTACTATGTTTATTTTTCGGATGGCATTCTATAATCACGTACCGTAACCGAACGTACGCGAATACATACACATGTGTGTGTATATAAAACAGAAAGGACACGAATGTCGGAATATGCAGCGTATTGGACCATCCAGACTCCGGCTTGGGCCGTGTGTATCACGGAAATTATATCGACCAAAAATTTGCGGTCATTGCCAAAACAATAATAAATGCTGTGTGCCTTTGGTGTCTACTACCATACAAGTAAGTTTGAGCTGTCAGTTTTATTATATTAACATATTGTTGCTCTTGGATTAGCTCTGCTATTTTATAATTATTCGATTGCCTTATTTATCTTTCTCTCTCTCGGTTTTTGAAGGTGGAAATGTTGTGTCCGCTTTCAACAGGAGATCCATTCAATTTTATTGAAACGAAGTACGATTTGTGGGACCACAACTCTATCGATCCTATTGATCAGGAGCTCTTACAATCACGACAAATACAAATTGAAAATCGATTCATTGCCGTACAATGGGTGCTGAAGTGTGATTGCAGCTTACAAGTAAGAATACATGACTTATCTTTATGTGAATTGTTAAAATCTACTACTAAACATTATTGCAATGGATGCTTAAATGTTTACAATTTACATATTTCGAATAAACTGCCACCAAAATTCAATTTATAATTCTTGTATTCACATTTTGATATAATCTATTAACAAAAATAAATATAGCCGAACAATAATTGATACACGGTTATAAATCAAAGCTGTTCATTTTATTACTCGATGTCAATCTAAATAAATATCGATTTATTTCCATCGACAATCTGTTGAATATTAAAAAAAAGAAATTAAAAAACAGAATAAGTAACGATGAGTTATTGTGAAAGTGTTGGTTTTATAAATAAAAGCAGTGCACCAATATGCTAGAAGTAATCTTGTAAAAATGAGAATGGAAGAAAGTATTTCAAGGAGATTCATTCTACACTTTGATATGCTTACCGAACAATATTGCTATTTTAAAGATTTCTTATTCGATCTCGTTCACTTTCATTTCGGAGAAACGAGAAATGAACTTGTTTAACTTATGAACAGCATCTAAGGATTACATGAAGATAACAATTTGGGTATAAGAAACTTCAGAAAAAAAAGTCAACATTAAAAATGCATTGTATTAAACAGTGATGTGTGGAGAGGGAGGAGGTCTTACCAACCCCTCCTCCTCTCATAATCTGAACTTGTACATTACTGGTATTAAATATATGTGTTTAGCAGCGATGAAATCAATGTTTCCTTGAAATTATGAAAATTGTCCTTTACATCCGAACTAAATTCATTCCTTATTTTAGGCAAGCAATAATGAATAGACTCGTACAATGTGTATGCCACTGTACTTCCATGTTGGTGTATAAAAAGATGTATAAAGTGCTGTGTACATCAAACGTGTATCATGGCACCTGAAACATGCACAGAACAAATAAACGATTTCAATAAAAAATAACAAGTCGATACCGTTTCCATTAAATGGTCTGCTGAGACTCATTATTTTCTGTTTTATGATAATCATTGAGCATAACGAAAACAGATCAAATACGAAATATATTCTTCAATGCACATAAATCGTTGGAAATTTAGCGACCGATTCAAATACAAAACCATGTCGATCTATAAAATGCGAATGAATCAACGAGAGTGATGTGCATGTAGACGTACGAGAGTGTGTGTATATCTTCAAAATCATCGAATTAATTATTATATCAAAAGAGCTCTCGACTGTGTGTGCAACATAAAACTCTCACTCTCCGACTTCAGTGTCATAACATTATTCGAATTATTTCTCTTCGTTCTGAGCGTAATTTTCATTTCGTTTTGGTCCTTTCGGTTTTTCTTTCCATATTGCAGTTCGTTGAGCTCTTGCGCTCGATCAAAGACTCGATTTTAAACGGAAACCAGTTGGTCCCCAAAGAATTCACATTTTATTTACATATACATAATGGATTTGAAGGTTTTATTGCACATAAGATTTGGATTTTAAATCGTCCATTTCATTCGAAATTTCCTTACATTCTTTAAATGACACACTTACACACACACACATCCAGACCTACGTCCTATAAGAAGCTTACATAAACCTTCATTGTTATGACACTAACAATTTAAATCTGATTGCTTAAATATTTTGCTTAAATGTCCCGTAAGAGACGTTCTCACAGAAGTGTTGATACAAACGCATCTGAACCCGACTAATTATAACAATTTCAGAAATGAAAATGTCAGCGATTAAAATGAATTGGACGAAAACGCAAAAAATTGACAAATAAAAATAAAGAAGACAAATAAATAAAATATGAGAAGAGTTAATGTGTTTGCCTAAAGAAAACTTAAGTGAACAACAATATTTTTCAATCTCTTTCTCTTTGTTTCGCTCCTCTCTTCTTCTTTTTTTAAGCTGTCTATCACTGGAACGATCTTGTAAGGCTCTTAAACGTTTCGTTGATAGCACACAATCATCTCCGGGTGTCAGATTGTATTGTATTTCATCTGTACACAGTTGAATATAAAAATGCGGCAACTGTGAATAGAGAAAACAAAAAAGGGCATAAACATGAATTATACACTTGTGACTATGCAAAAAAAGGTGTCCATCTTGTGTCGGCTGAAACTTCTGTCAAAAAGTAAAATCGACACTCACATATTTTATGCACAAAAATTCTTTTCCCTTTCTATTCGCTCGTCTTTCGACGTTTTTGTAAGTCTCCAAGCGTTCATTCAATGCCTTGATCCATGTCTATCAACAAAAAAGCTGGTTTTGTGGTTTACGTAGCTTTGACATCAATTTACCTTGCTTCGTATATATATATATGTTCACTCTGATCACTTTTCTATTCAAAATACTCCTTCGTTCGCTTGCTCTGAGCACTCTTTTGTTTCACCATTTATTTTCATCGAAAACGTCCACGGGGGTCGACTTTTCCTTTGAATCTATTTCAAAACAATTTGCATCAAATACAAAAATCGAAAAAGTACCAACGAAAATGAAAAAAATAAATACAACAACAAAAAAAGAAGATGTTAAGCGTACTCGTTCAACAGGCATTGACGTGTACTTCTTGGACACTCTTATTTATCACATTACCTTTTTGTACAATATAAACTTGGCTTTTTGCACAGTCATTCATTCTTCTTTGCATTTTCTCGTTCTCGTTTTGTATATACGCTATTTACTGGCCTTATTTATCGTTTACATTTTTTTTGTCATCGCACCATTTTGAAATTTCATTAAAATACTTACGCTTCATTATGTAAGCTCCCCAGAACATCTCTGTTCAATGTGTCAGAGTTGGTGTTCTAATATGCTTAAAACAATCTGTGTATTTCACTGTCGAATGACAATAATAATTATTATTAAAATCTGCAGTATAATGGCCAAAGTGGAAGTGTGTCTAGGCAATTTTTTTTTTGTTCAAATAATGAACTTCTTTCTTTAAAAAAAAAAGAAAATACGTACGTCTGTATTCAACTCAACCGATATGCGACATTTTCTGGTGTCCGCATTATTCATTTCGATTTTTTCAAATTGAGCTTTTCTTGTCTATTTTAATTTCAGAAATTGAAAGCGAAATTGAGTTTTCCGCTCGCGGCTGAATTATTTACTGAATATAGAAAGAAAAAAAAGTGTCTTTTTGGAAAAAGTTATAATGTTTGACCAGCATGTTCATGCCATTGTAAAAATATCATTTTCACGACGATATCCACAAAATTTGAATTTTGCTGCAAAGTACAGACTCTGTACTACAGAGTAGTTCAATCTCATGCTTATACCTGAAATTCACTTTCATCGCCGAGTAAAGTCGGTTAGAAATCATAACTTTGCTGAAAATTTCCATTTAAATTACTTGTTCTCATTCAATTTTTCGGTGAGAATGCGAAAACAACGTTGAAAGATAGAAGATAATAAAAAATCGTTATAATTTCGTCATGTTTTGTAAATGAAGAGATGACAACCGAACTTTTGAAACTAAGCTGAAGGGATGGCAGTCGAGGATGGTGATGTGTTTACGATATACCAATAAAAATACGTCATGATATTTGATGTTTTGTAATTCTATGGTTTAGTTTATTTTTAGTCCCTTTAAAATCATTTTAATTATAAATAATTTCATGGTATCGGGGACGCTATTTTTTTGGAAAAGTTTAAAATTTACCACACACAGGGGATGACACGATTTATGCAATTCTTTGTGATTTGAATCGATTTGATAAGGAACTTTAGTAAAAACGTTGTCGGTATCGAGACAACCTCTTTTGCTTATCAACATTCGTTAAAATTGTTTCGGTTTGTTACTTTGTGTCATGCATAACTCAAAGTATCAGCTATCAACTTGATATCAACATTCTCTCAGAATTGATTTCTACCCCCTAGTTACATATTTGTAGACATTAACAGTGAATGAAATATCGATACCCTTTTGAAAAGTGTTAGAAAACGACCAGTGGTTATTCTGAACTAAACTCTTTATTGATAATTGTTGGTCTTATATACAATTATTTGAACAATTAATATTCATATTTCAAAGTATTGTTAATCTGGTTCAGCATTTTTACTGCTTTAGGTTTTCGTGCATGTGCATATAATTTGATAAAATACTTTGCTCAAATATTGTTCATATTCATTTTCGAAATCAACTCATTTATCGAGTAACCAATAATATCATTCACATTTAATTATTTTCAACAATAAAATTTAGATTTCTCAACAAAAAGTCTCGTACATTTTTGGGAATATAATCGATATTTTAAATCTATTCGAAATGTTTTAAATATTCATTCTAATTGCGGCTTTCCAACCTTCATTTCCATTTTCCACTTCATTTATTATATCATGAATCACGCGAATATTATTATTAAATCAAGTGTTTTTTGTCAATCAATTTAACTAAAGCACAAAACTCATCGAAATTTCCAATGAAAGCGAGACCAAATTATCAAGCCTATGAATGAGATTACTTCAATTCGTAAATGAACTGCCAAAACAATCAATGTGACGTGACTTTAGTCAAGAATATTTTCTTGTCAATTATAAAAAAAATATTTCACTCTTGCATTAAGATAATCAGAGAATGCCAGTGGCTGAACTCAGATATATTCCGATTTTTTACGTGATCGAAGCCATGCCGCTTGTGTCACATGAATCGACGGATGCTTGCTGCCACACGAAGTGTGGATTAATCGGATATTTTTTCAAAGAAAAAAACATGTTTTACATGCAGGTATTATATTGAGATATTTTCAGCCAGATGAATCAGCTTAGGCAACTGATGTACCGACAACAATAGAAGTGATTGTTATAGTTATAAAAAACACTTCCATTCTTACAAACAACATAACAATCACTTCTCTTGTTTTCACTCCATTTCATCTCCTGGCGATAGCAGCCTGAGGTGACTCAGCTGGCCCAAAATATCTCAATATAGTGTCTGATTCCATGTTCAATTTTATTTAACCCTTCTGCGTACAGAAGCATCAAAAATACATCATTTTCTTAATTTCATAGATTTTTCATACAGACGTACGTTTATTCTGTCCATAGGAGGGTTAAATCTGTGTTTCAATGAAAATGTTACCGCTTTGAGAGCGCATGAAATTAGCAAATATCTGCCATTCAGCGTGATAAATTCACCCTCTGCTATTCTCTGAAGATAATTAATTGGTGTATAAACTTCCAATTTAAGTTTATTTAAATAAAAAAAATTTAATTGCTGTTTTAATTTCTTCATTTTTTTTCTTTGTCTATTCTCTTTCTCTTCCCTCAGGGTGAATCGTGCCAAGAAAACAACGTCACCAATTCGGACATAAAGGAACTACTAACCCGTGTTCATCGAACATAAGCTTCAGACAAAACGAAAGACGGACGACATAAGAGTAGAAAAACAACAGCGAACTTTAAATCGTGTAGGTTTCAAGTGCTTAGAAAAAGGCGAAAAAGTTGAGAAGCTTTGCACTTTGTAGAGTGTTGCAGAAACTTCAGTGATTTATGGTAATTTGTCTATAAGGGTGGACGGTCATATTCGATTAAAAAAAACTTTTACTTTGGCCTGAGCATGCTTTCCGAACTTAAATTATCTTCGAATCAAACTTTGATATTTTCCTTTTTACGGGCTAGATTTAATAATTTGTTAAGTAAAATTCACATGCAGAGAAAATTCAAATGACAATTTCTGCAATTTTGTGCTAATTCAAGTAACAAAATATAGATTTGGTCTATCCATGAAAGGGCAAAAATGTCACAAAAGTGCCGGTATTTTAGGTCAAACAGAAAAATCAATATGCGTAAAATCTAGTTTCGTTATTTTTTCTTTCTTTCGTGAATGCATTGACACAACCACACATATTACAAAGGAATAAAAGACGAATCTATCTTATCACCATTCAAAATATACATATGACTAAAACACAAATCAAAGTGTGTTTAAGAATGACATTTGTTTCGATTTGAGCAGAAATAATTTTAATTGCATCAGTTGGTATGTTCAGTCATTTTTGCAACGAAATAAAGGCATGCACAACTGTATCGTTGAAATGACCAATTTCATTTCCGTTCCCAGCTTTTTTTTTCAATAATTCTGTAACAGAATTTCTGTCTTCATACTTCATATATAATTATATTCTATTTAAATGCGACACAACATACATATCTATGCAAGTTTCACATATTTTATAGAGGAACATTTGATTGTATATACTCTATGTATTATATTCGATCAAATTTTGGCATGTCAAATATGCCATACATACAAAATAAGTGAGAAAAACTTCTAAGTTTGACAACATTTCGTTAATACTAAGTGTAAATAGTCGAAGATTTGAAAAGGGAAAAAAAAAACAGAAAGAACAACTCATTCCCATTTTGATTTGGAGAAGAGATTTTTTTAGTAATAGGTTTTAAAAGGTGTGTCTTTTTAATCTGCTAATTGTTTTTAAATAAATTTTTCATAAATATATAAACATCAACCACTATAGTGGCTAAGCTAAGCAAAAATGTTTGTGTTTCATCACATTATTTATTTAGTTGCAACGTTGCAATGCATCGATTCATTTTGTCGAAAATATCAGGTTTATTTAATAATTTTTCAAAAGCATAAAAATTTCGTAACTTATCGTTATGTCATCATTTTAAACAAGCAAATATATACGGTCCAAATGCACGGCTTGAATTTCATCAATTTTCAAACCAATTCAATAAATAATGTTTAACAATATTTAAATAATTTAATAAACCCACTTTAAATAGATTACCCCATCGTCAGCATATTTATTGAATTTTCCATTTTAGTTTATCATGAAGCAGCAATTAGTCACCGAAAATGAATGCAAATAGCTTTCATCACTTACAAATATCATTGCGAATCACTTCAGATAGAATTGGTGTTGATTAAAACACTGCAGTTGTTTGCGCACACGCTCACACACGGTGGTCAGTTGGCTTTACTGTTTTCAAATTGTCGCAATAAAATTATTAATAAACAGACGTTCGGGCCGTTCGGTCAATGCACATTCCATTCATTGATTCATTTATACTCTTTCTCTCTCTCCCTATCCTCTTCTTCGCACACTGTTCGTTCATTTATATTCGGTGCGCAATTTGTGTGCCACCGAAAGTGAGCGCCATTGAAGTGCATTACAGATGCAAGAAATTGAGGAAACATACACGCCAGCATGTGTTATTAATTAAAACCGCAATTCATTTAAACGAGTGAATACGCATCATTCCTGCATGTGTATATAATTAAACTTCAGTCACACCGTACTACTTAACGACTTTACACACACCACAAGATAAAATAAAATACGTGTGCTGCCAAAACTCATAAAACAGACATATGCATACACAAACACACACACACACACACAAACACGGGAAATAGAACTTAACTGAATATCATTCGACGCCCATGTGATCCTTGCAAGGATCAATGTTGCAACATGATATACTACGTGTTTCGGAAACACACGTTTCACATACGCGATAGATGGATATGTCTGCAGATATGCAAGCGTGCCATTTTCTTTTGTATTGAATCTTTCGAGATTTTATCATTATATATCTTATTTCGGTATCACATATAGATCTTTACCGATATCTATCACTTGTTTTTTACATTGATGCATTTTTGCCCAGACCTTTTCTTTGGCATTTCCAGAGAAAGACAAACCTTGAAATCATCTTCTCAATTCCCATCGCTTTCGATGATTTTGATCGCTTTCTTCATAATCATAAGCACTTGTGTGCTATTTGCACCGAATCGCCACCAATTCAGCACATTGCAAATATGTTGATATTTTATCGAGAACATTTTATGATCGTCGAAAACTTTGTTCTCACATTCATCACCATGTGACTGTGTAATGTGTATGATATTTAACTCGTCACAATAAATACATCGAAAAATGTTGAAATTTTGAGTCCATTTAGTGAAAAGAAACTTGTTTTTTTTTTCTTTTGATAAACATTGTAGTCAACGGTACGATAAATATGCAAAAATAATGCAAATATTGAGAACAAAAATAACAAACTAAGTATACATTTGCGATTAGATATTAAATGTTTAAGCTAAAAAATTCAAGATGTTAGTTTATAAGTTTATTTAAACTGTAAATATATAACTATAAAATGCATAACAGGAACAAAAACTACAAAAATACGAATAAAGATTATTGCGAATGAAGTGGTTTGGAATAAATGCCAATGCCTCCTTAAAAAATGCTTGATCAGTGTCTTTTTTTATTAGTTTAGGTGCTTAAAGTTGTGTTAGGGTGGTGATAAAAGGTAAATTGTATTGTACACGAAAATGTTTTCTACTCAAGCTGAACGCGGCTTTTATTGCTTTAACAGCGAAAATTTGGTATATTTCGAGAAAAAAAAATATCAATAATGGTATCGTTTAAAATAAAAGTGACTGCCTTATATTTGCATTTTGCTATTAACAGAGGTCACTTTTATTGTAAACGGTGCAATTCTGAAAGTCAAAATGGTCCATGGTAAGTAAGGTGAATAACAATTTACAAGTACGGCACAAAACAGAGAGTAAATTGGCAATGTTTCAGGAAAAAAAAGCGTATAATTTATCATGTAAAGGCTGATAATCTCATTTGTCGGTGGATTATACGTATATAGCCTTTAGAGCATGTACGTGTTTGCATTTGTGTTTTAGAGCAAATGCCAGGCAGGCATTATGGTCTTTAATATGAATACCGTGTCTAAATAAAGAAACAACCAGCCACATACAAAGTCATTTCATCTCGTAACAATTGTTATCGTCACAAGATATGTGTCAATTATGCCTAATTCATGTCTATTCTATACGAGTTTTCTATTTTTGCTTTTGGTATTTGGTTCATCCCCTCTGTATGTGGAAGTGAATAAGAAAGATTAAGGTAAAAGACACCCCATGAAGACCACACATGCCTTCTAAATAGCGTATATTTCATTTCATATGCTATTGGAATGAAAAAGCACAATTTTTAAATATAATATGCAGCATACATTGTTAGTTGGTAGTTATAAAGCCGAATACGTACGCTTTTATCTGGTATTATATGCATTATATAGGGACATTTTCCGAAAAAACAATGTTCGCTCTATTTTTGAAATGATTATTTCGATAAATTTAATTTTTTTGTCAATAATTGAGGTATTTTTGTCCTAGAAATTAACCGTATTTGGTCGATTCACCTTAATTTCGTCTTTTGAGCCACTCAGTGTATTTTGTATGAAAAAATGTGGATTTAAAAAAATGGAATTTCTGCGATAATTCAAGAAAAACTCTGTCAATAGATTTATTCCGTGCGACAAATTACTATGTGTGTATGCGTGTGTCATCATGTGCTTAATGTCGCCTAGAGATGACACTATGTTTTTCTACAAAGTCGAATGTAGAATCCACTATCTCGATGAAGCCCATTTCATTTATGTGATGATGGGTGATGCGCTCATTTTAACAAATGAAACAACCATAAAAAATGTTTACGTATATTTTAGCATTGATGAAGACACACACACTTCATTTCTTATTTCCTTATAAGCTTTTTTACGTCGAATAGCGAGTATTCTCTTGAGAATCAACTTCTATGAGCGAAGGAAAATGTGGGAGCGAAGACGGCATACGACAAATATATTACAAAAGCAGCGAATTGAATGATGGAAAATAGTAACGGAGGACAAACACAAAATATAATAATAACGAAATAGAAACGGTAACACAAAGACACAACGTGCGTAAAGTAGGCATGCAGCGTGTTCGTTTAAATGTGACCCGCGGCAATTTCATCCCGTTGTGTTTTTCATCTAAGACGGTTTTAAGCACAACCAAGTTCCGAATTGGTTCGGGCTTGGTTAAGATGGTAACATTACATAATAAATATGATCTTATATTTATGTACGCGTACTCGATTCCAGATAGGAATTCGTTTTATTTTTATTTGTGGCTATACCTACGAAAGTTACATACAATCATGATTATAAGTACAATATTGCACTTGATTTCGTCTTCGTCCGTTTACTACCCGATGCTGTCTTCACAAGTGCTCAAAACATTCAATGTTGTCCGGAATTTACAAAGACTTGAAAGCAAAACGATTATCAAGTCCTGAACGTGCAGTGTTAAACTCTAATCAGAAAAAAAACGATTCAAACGAAAATATAAAATTATGAGTTAAAATGTACGTACACGAAAATAAATAAATAAATAAACAAAGAAAATAGACTAGGTAAGTAAGATGCTTCAGAAGAAATGATATACATTATGCAAACATTTCCATCAAGCTTTAAGTGATGGTAACGTTGTTGCTGCCGTAGATTTTCTGTTGATTGCGAGCCCAACTGAATGAGATAGAGAGAAAGAGAATGAAACAGCGTGGCATACGAAATTCACTTTAATTTCATCAGCAATGAAATTATGTAATATTTGTAAATAAATTATCATAATTTATGTTATTTGGCTAGTAAGACCGGAATAAGTGTCAATTACACAGGGTGTCCACGAATTACGTCTACACATATTTCTATCACAGATTCCTTGGATCAATAAAACATATGTGAACGACTTTGAGTCAAAATTCCAGAAATTTCGAATGGATTTCTCGTCGGTATGGTATTTTTTTTAGGGGTAGACGCCAATTTCTAGTGTATTTAGTTTCTTCTAGTTTTTCTACTTTGCCGACAAAAATACAAATATTAAACTGAATGAATTGCATGTAAAAATTCATGTCAGCCTACAAGATTTATCTACATCAATCGGTTACAGTCAAGAAACACACAAAAAACTCTCAACCTCAATATGAAACGATTTTGACATAAAATTCAGTTTATATTAAGTATTGTTGTTGTTGGACATACTGTATCAGTTAATCAAATGAAAAAATAAGTCACTTCACTTATTTTTTCATTTTATACAAAGTCTCAATTTTTTTAGTCAAACTTTTTTTTTCGTCTTTTCGACTCTTTTTTTGCTGTTACATGGCATGTTTATATGAAAATCTCTCAGACTCGGTATAATGCACAAAAAAATTGAATATTTTTTTCATATAAGCTTGCCATGTAGCACCAGAAAGACGGTCGAAAAGACGGAATTTTTTGTGTACCAAGTCTCCGGGAGTTTCATATAAACATGCCATGTAACAGCAAAAAAAGAGTCGAAAAGACGAGAAAAAATGTTTGACAAAAATTTATCCGAAAAAAATTTAGACTTCGTATAAACTGAGTTTTATGTCAAAATCGTTTCATATTGAGGTTGAGAGCTTTTTGTGTGTGTATGTTTTAACTCCTCAGGATTTAAGAAATCTCTCGTCGAAATATGAACAAATCATTCGTGGACACCCTGTGTTTTTTTTTCGGTAACCAATGAATAGATGTGTTGAATTGTCAGATGTTTATTGTCATTATTTTATTAATAAAAGCATTGATGTTTGGTTGGTCCTTAAATGAATGCCCTAGAATAAAACCAGCATATTAAATAGTTGCATACCAAAGCGAAACCGACATTTTTTTACATAGATTTTACGGAAAAAACGTCTGCATATTATATTGTTTTTATTGCTCTAGAGCATTAAAATGTTGAAAATATGTTTATTATCATTGAAATATATCTATATTTGTGGTAATTTGTGCAGATTTTGTCACATAACAAACCCCAATTGATAAACCAAATAATGATGGCAGTAACACATAAATTCGATAAATATTTGTGAATGATCTTTCAATTGCAACGTTTTTTTAACTCAATCAGTTTTGATTTTGATCAATTTTTTAATTCACTCAGCATTTTTCAATCAGTTGTGTTCGTTTTTCTGTAAATTTGCAATTCGATGAAGATACTCTTTAATATCGTTTGAATGCACTAATCCAACAACGGTCAATGGACTCTATTATAGACTGTTAAGACAATAAACGTACTTTATATTGTGAATTGAGTCATCTCAAACCGCTTATATACACTATATATATAACATTTTTCGTGTTATTCAATTTTTTCATGTTCTATTTTATACGTTTTTCGTTTGCCTCAACATCGTCGAATTTTTCAATCCATTTTCCCCCTCAGAATCCAGTTGTCGCCATGAACACACCTATATCAAATCGCTTTGATTATATATATATATTCGTTATGCACGGTGAGTAGCGTGAAAAAAAATCCATCCAATTCAATTTGTTTCATACATGAATTTAATCATGAAATTTCCATTTGGTTCTGGGTTTTATATCGTTTCGGTTTAGCGTATCGTGTCTCCCCGTTCGGTCGAATATTCTGCTATATACATCCATTTGTACGTCTCGCTGAGTGATTGATTAAGATTTAATTATATTAAATTGTATCGAATAACACAGATCAAATGTTCTTACATTTAAATGTAAATGCCCGATACGAACAAGGGATCAGTGGAAATTAGTTCGTGATTTTTCGTTGAATCAATACGAGACACAATACAAAAATTTCATTGCGACTCACTCATGCTCAGATGGCCCGATTGATTTAAATCCTACATACATGATATCATTCAATACTTTGTGCAATCGAATAAGTTGGATTGGTTATATTTAACATTAAATAATTATTTATTTTTCTTCTTTTTCAAAATGTATGTGAGTATTTCATTTCCATCGTCGTCAATTTGTCTTTGTCAATTTGTGTTCTGTTTTGACAAGCTGTACTTGTATTCGATTTGTTGTTGCACTCTCAATGATAATGATTTGCGGCTGTGCACATTTTATTAAAACATTCTTATGATACTTGATATTATAAACTATGTCTGACGCTGCAAATAAAATTGAAAATTGTGCCGCATAATTTCAACCAAAGTATGTGTGTGTGTGCTGTGTGAAAAGTTTTAGTTATGCAATTATGTGTGTTGGGAAATGTATAATAATAATATATCGATCAATCTCATAAAATTTGTAATGGCACTTGTCTGTACAACTATCAACCACTCAACCCATGACTCAACCACTGCATAATTCCATTTTGATTTCGAAAGTTTTGCAATGGTAGCCATTTCGACCGAATGTATCTATAAACACTCCATTAGACATAGAGTATAATTGAATAGTGATAAAAAGAAAAGGGTCAATGGCATTATTGTAAAGGGCAAACTAAAAGAAATTGTCTAGCATTGAACTTGTATCGAC